TGACCGGTTTCTAGGCCGGTTTGATTCGTGCTCCAAATCTGACTTGGCGTTTCTTTCATTTAGGTCGCTCCCACCGCTACTGAGGCTCAGCTCAAGACTGCCTATAAGAAGGGTGCTCTCAAGTACCACCCTGGTATGTGAAAATCCCGGAGACTCCGAATAGCATATATGGAAACACTCAGCTGACATCCTTTTGTCACATGAAGACAAGAACACCAACAACCCCGATGCCGCAGAGAAGTTCAAGGAACTGTCCCACGCCTACGAGACTCTTTCCGACCCCGAGAAGCGTCAGCTGTATGATCAGCTCGGTGAAGAGGGCCTGGAGCACGGCGGTGGTGGCGGCGGCATGAACGCCGAGGATTTGTTCTCTCAATTCTTCGGCGGCGGCGGCGGCGGCCCCTTCGGTGGAATGTTCGGCGGCGGCATGCGTGAACAAGGCCCGAAGAAGGCCCGCACAATCCACCACGTGCACAAGGTTAACCTCGAGGATATCTACAAGGGCAAGGTCTCCAAGTTGGCACTCCAGAAGTCCGTCATCTGCGGTGGCTGTGATGGCCGCGGTGGAAAGGAGGGCGCTGTTAAGGAGTGCGCGGGTTGCAACGGTAGCGGTATGAAGACTATGATGCGCCAGATGGGTCCCATGATCCAGCGCTTCCAGACCGTCTGCCCCGACTGCAACGGTGAAGGCGAGATCGTCCGTGATAAGGATCGCTGCAAGAAGTGTAACGGCAAGAAGACCGTCGTTGAGCGCAAGGTTCTTCACGTTCACGTCGACAAAGGTGTGCGCGATGGCCACAAGATTGAGTTCCGCGGCGAGGGTGACCAGATGCCTGGTGTTATGCCCGGTGATGTCGTGTTCGAGATTGAGCAGAAGCCCCACGCCCGCTTCCAGCGCAAGGGCGACGACCTGTTCTACCAGGCCGAGATCGACCTTCTTACCGCTCTTGCCGGCGGTGCCATCCACATTGAGCACCTCGACGATCGGTGGATGACCGTGAACATCGCCCCCGGCGAGGTTATCGTTCCTGGTATGTGACTTACAATTTTTTTCCTGTACAAGCCTCGTGAAACTTGTTACTAACAATTGTTTTTAGATGCTATCAAGGTCATCCACGGCCAGGGTATGCCCTCGTTCCGCCACCACGACCACGGCAACCTGTACATCAAGTTCGATGTCAAGTTCCCTAAGAAGGAGGACCTCCAGAACCTGGAACTCCTTGAGAAGGTCCTTCCTCCTCGCTCCGAGAAGGTCGTTCCCCCGACCGACGCCATGGTCGAGGACTTCGAGCTTGAGGACCCCGAGAACGAGCACGACCAGGCCCGCGCCCACGGCGCAGCCGCGACCGGCATGGACGAGGATGAAGATGACGTACCCGGCGGTGCCGAGCGGGTGCAGTGCGCTTCGCAGTAAAAGGATTCCGGAGACAATTTCCATGCCGTAAATGGGGGTTGATGCTAGGCCAATGATGAAGACTTCGCTTATGATACCATGTGAAGGGGGCCCTTCTCCTTAACCCCGATTTGACGCGGGGAACCTGTTTGTTTTCTTTATGCTTTGCAATGGCGTTTCCTTTGAAGACCTGGAAGATATCATTTTCTCTTTTTTCTGTCTTCTCGGGTTCCATTTCCCAATTTTCTCCTGTAATCCTCTTTCGAATCTCTCGCCTTGTCCAATTCTTTTTTCCCCCCTTCTTCTTTTGCATACACGTTTCGGGTCCTTGATCCTTGCTTTTCCATTGCTTTTTTTCACGTTTATCGCCCATTTTATGTTTTCCATGGGAACTGGGGGTTGTGTGGTGGGAGTGTGCTGACGATGGGAAAGAGTCATGAATCGAAAATGGATGAGACGAGACCACGATTGCGGGCCTGGCTCTTGCGAACGGATCTTAACGATTTCTGTTGCCGATGCTAGCTGTGTCCTAGGATGAAGTTCTGGCAAGGGGTCGCGGCGTGATCATGATGGATTCGTGCTTTTTTTTTGTTAGCCTGCACTCTGATGATGACCTTTGAATAGACCTTGTATGTTTTCGTTCCAATGCATTGCTCATCCTATGGATGGTTTGTTTGATATAAGACGTGTTGTTGGTAGTAGTACGTGTAGTCGTTAGAGTGAAGAGAAGAGAAGGAGGTGGGAGTGCGACAAGATAGCTTCCTTGGAAGTCCTCAAGGTCCTCTGTGCTGTTGTGGGACTGACTTCCAAGGTCGTCCTGTGAAATTCAGTGGTAGGTATGTTGACCAGTGTACAAAAGACAATATGAAAGAGTGTATCAAGGCTACTTCGTAAAGTGACGAGTTGCTGTGGGCTATTCAGGGAAAAATCGGAAGATACTATGGTTGTCGTGTGACGCGACAGCTGCTCATTACCTCGGCAACAATGCTACGAAGAGCCTTAATGACTAACTACGGCGATCTGAACATTTGAATTTCATTTAGACAAATGCTTCGTGCTAAGATTGCCAATTGACCCCGGTGAATTAGCGCAGCCACCAGGATACTGACATCAATCACCCGAGACTCCTCGAACCCATTTTTGGGTCTCTTGTTTGCTGGCGATATATAACCACATCTCCTATATTATCTGCGAATAAGCATGCAGGTGCATAACAAGGGAATGAGATGCCGTAAATTCACGACAAGCAAGCGAAATATTAAGCGATTATTATAGCAAGCGGTACGTTCTTGCTATATCCAATGTAATTTAACACATATTTGGTGGAATTTGGCAATCAATTTCTCGGATGGAGAATGGAAGGATACATATGTCTGCATGAGAATTGAGAATAGCTCATACAATGTAATTTACCATATCGCCTCAGATTGGAAGTCTGATCGTGGATATCTAGGTTTGGACCTACGAGGGTGACCCCTTAGACCTTGTGGACTCGGTGGCTATGCCTATATTCATGGCGCTTGAAGCTGTTGAGCAGATGAAACAAGTCGTTAAGATTGCTGACGACTACACTGAGGCTGAGAAGGAGGCTGAACGTAAGACGGCAATGATGGCATTCCTGGGCGCCCTCTTGTTCCTCGTTCCCATTGGCGCCAATGGCGTTGGGAAACGTGCCAGACGATTGAGAGCAGACTGTCTATGATGAGCTCTTGGCCATGCACTACCTAGCTATCATGGAAGATGCCACCCAATTTGATGGGGCGTCAGTCGATGAGGTCAAAGTTCATTTCGAAAACGGGACGATGCGCAAGTCAGGCGAGATAATGCAGCCATGTTTCGTATATGTATGATGATTGACGAGGAGTCACTACAGACGCTGCTAGATGCATCTTCGGCGAAAGAGAGAGAGAAAAGGTCTTGGGTAGGCAGCCTGGTACACTTTGTGCAAGTTGTTGAGGCTTGGCTGGAGATTTATAGCAGTGATTCCTTCCCTGGTTAGATGAAATGTGATATTAATAAGTCTGGGGTCTCTCCAGGGCTTTGGGGCATGATTGATGATGGAGATGAAATGAGGAGATCTTAGGATGATATGATACGGGACAACGATAGCCGCGGTGTTTATGACGCAATTTGGTGTCTCTGTGTATGCTGGAGAAGATTAAAAAGAAAGCTATCAGCTAGCCAAGTTTACACGTGTTTTTGCGTTCTGCCATCTAGAAAGGGACAACAATGACTTCATATAACTGTGCAGCATCTAGCAGTCTCATAACATTTGACTCTATTGGGCTCCGAGTAAGGTCGAGACAAAGCCCAACTACGACCGGACTTTTCAATATCACAATGCATACCACGGCCATAAGTGAGCTTATACAGCAGATTTATCGTAGCTGGCTGAATATGGCGATGTGCATAATCTACGAGTCAGCGTATGCAGCAGATCCGCTGTGGGTAGCTGAATGTAGCAATGTACAGGATCACTAGTGTGGGCTACATGCCAGATAGGTTATATTCCACTAGCGCTAGAGAACAGATGGGTGCGCCTAACTTATTCTTAGTATTTCCTCAACCTTTACGATTAGTGGGCGAAGGACCTCTTAGCACCACTTTTTAAGTTAAATCCTTAAGGCGGACCATATATTTTTGGTCTCTATATTACCATTGGACTATATATGAGGCGATATGTACCTAGGTAGGTAGGTATCACATAATTTAGCGCGGGCCGTGCCGGTCACAGCATATCACATATCACGCGAATCTAATGCGAATTTAACGCGAAACTAGCGCGAAACTAGCGTGAAACTATTGCTTCTTTTACCGTTTCCGTCGAGTCACATATGCATACTTCCAATACAACATATGTACCACCAAGTCCTACATTTTAAGGGTCCCGGCGATCTAGCCATGGAGGGATTAGTGCCTGAGGCCCTAAACTGACGGTCTAAGGCCACACACTACAACAGATATCGGGCAGGAACTCACGTATTTGGCTTGATGTATCTAGCTATATTTCCATATAACTTGAGCGCTTGGCACGGTTGCCTGCTCGATATTACATGGGGCATTAATCAAACTGGATATTTTTTTTCGATCTCGTCAGTTTGCTACACTACTGCTATTGACATACAGTTCAGCATCCGCTTGAGGACAAGTATATAAATTCTACAGCGGGATAAAGATCGTTCCAAGTATACTTTGATGAGAATTATACCTAGTTAGTTAGTTCTTAGTAATTAATATGGCATTAGGGGCTCTTCAACGCTAGCCCTAATTCGTCGTTATATACTCCGTACCATGACTCGCGATGCCAGCTTTACATAGCAAAAATATCGCACTCCTACAGAATCGAGATTAGCGCCATTGGTCCAATTCAATTGTTGGGTTCAATCAATTTGAATCCAAGAGAATCCTGCTCCTTTCTGTTTTCTCAAAAATGAGTGAGGGATTTATGAATATACAGGGGTGGAAGAGAGGCCATAAATACGGCCTTCTATCCCGGGTATGAAGAGATTAGACAGATTACAAGTTTCTGGCACTATCTTATAGCACCAATCAATTTGGAATCGATTCAGATCCCAAATTTACACCGTTCTATAGTGCTCTATTCAATATGCTTGCGTGGTTTGATTCTCTGGGTAGAAATCCCGCTAACAGAGAACCACTGATCAAGATACCGCCGTCTGATCCTCCACCAATTGACCCAAGCTCACTCATGTCCTCGCTGGGATATGATCCCCCTAATCCCACGCATGCTACCAGCAAGCCTCCCGGAAACAGCCATCAAGAACGGTCAGTCTATTTGCCAGACTTGTTTTGCTCAATCATGGCCGCCAAGCCAACCATCAACCCAAATTATTCTCATGTGAAGTCCAAAGGCAATCCCCTTATTGTCAAGTATGTGCACAAATATTACCTGAGAAAGGTCAAGGCTTACACTATATAAAGTGCTCTCCAGGCAGATGATAAATACGCGGCAAAGCTTTCCGAAATCGACTTTGCTTACCTCACTGCTATATGGGCACCATCCTGCGGCGAGGATGCCTTCCAAGTGCTAGTAGACTGGAGCACATGGGTATAAAACTATCCATATTCCTAGTTATAATTGGATATACTAATTTTGGCTTTATAGATCTTTCTTTTTGATGACCGTAAGTAAATGAGCTAACGTGACACGGGAAAGGAATTATGTAGGAAAATCTAACTTACATTCTAATATTTACAGAATTCGACGAGGGTCATCTCAAGGATAATCCGATTGCAGCGGAAGAAGAAATTGGCAAGATTATAGCAATCATGAATGGAACACGGTGCTCGGTTTCGATGTACGAAGATCCACTTGGGTTTATATTTCAGACGGTCTGGGACCGTATAGCAAAGGTACCAAATTACCCTTCACCTATGACCTAAAACCCAAGCTGATTAGAGCACATTAGTCTGCATCTCACGGTATGTTATACTGAAGAAGATACCTCGAACAATTTGGATTGCTTGATATATTACTCTCAGCTAACACCCTGGCATTATAAGCCACACAGCAGCGGTTGAAAGACGCACACGAAGATTTCTTTTGCGGACAACTTCAACAGGTCCGTGCTACAGGTGGCTTACGCATAGGTCCGCGCGATGTGGATAAATACTTGGAACTGCGGAGGAAGAATGTTGGTGTATACTCAGCCTTCGCCTGCTGCGAGTACGTTTCTCTTGGGACCATTAAAGCTGTATAAAGCATACTAACCTCGCCATTTAGAGCCATTCTCGGCATTGACCTTCCGCAAAACGTTCAGACCCATCCATCCCTTCAGGAGTTGAGCTATCTCTCAACAGAAATGGTTATCCTGTAAGTCAAACTCTAGAGATCTCTGGCAGACCGGAAGGAAAAAATGATTGATATTCTCCAGTTGCAATGACATACTTTCTTATAAGAGGGACATAGTAGGTATCTGGTGCTCTATCTGTGCTCTCACATGCTAAGTCTCCGTCCAGCAAGAAGGAACTGACTACAACCTAATAGAAGTTCTTATGGAACACGGGATTTCTACGCAACATGCTATGAATAAAGCCGGTGAGATGTTGATTGATTGCTATAAGCGGTGGTATACTGCGCTAGCCAATGTGCCTATATGGGGGGAAGAAACTGATCGACAGGTGCTGAAGTTCATTGATCTCCGTCGGGATATGGCATTAGGAAATCTACATTGGAGGTGAAGTCTGTTCCTAAGCTCTAGATAAACAGATTCTGACCACAGGTGGAATAGTTTCAAGACGACGCGCTATCTAGGAATTGAGCCAGGGGAAGTGTATCGGACACGAATACTAACCCTTCCCTGTTTACAGCCAGGAGATGTGAACCAATCTATAGTCTGACTAGAAAAGAGACACAAACATCAACCTATTTAGGCCAGAGAGAAATATGAATAATTTTTAGGTTCTTATCTTGGTTTTCCTTGATTATATGACGTGACAATCAATTTCGGTCAGGCATTTCTATAGCATCGATTTTGAGATGAGAAATAAGGAATCAGGCCTTGAAACCCAGTTAGCCTTCATTACACATTAGTTTTGAACATTGATTTATTCTAGTTCCGCCATTTGATACCACATCGGGAGTGTTCGACACGTAGGTCTTACCGTTGAGAAGGTGTAACATTCTCATAGTAGCTACAGGAGCGGTTAATATCAGCCTCGCCGCTTTCTTCTCTCTTGTTCTTTTCTAAAATCTGCCACTGAGTATAATTATATCTCTACTGAGTAAGCCTGAGCCTTAACACGCTCATAAAATCAGAGGCAACTCATATAGGAAATCGGTACGTACAGGTGCATGTGGAGTAGGTCTCTCAGAGTGATATTTAATCCCTCTAAAAGAATCCGTATTTGCTGTGAAAATGGGAAATTTAACCATAGTAACACGCCCAGGGCAGAATTGGGCAATCACTGCGCCAGAAAACGAACCAATTATAGACTTACTGCGCAGTAAACAACAAGAAAGTACCGTACGTTTGTAACTTCAATGGAACTGCCATGTTGAGGCAATACACATGAAGAATTTTTGTTCAAAACGAGCGGAGCATCAAACTTGTGGACCGAATTTAATTCAACTGCCGAAATTTTGGTTTATACTGCTTAGAACTAGAGAGGCCTACGAAGACTATAGGACTCAGGGTTCAAACCCCCTTTTGTAGGTGGTTTAGTGCCTGAATGCCTGACTTTAGAACGGTAGAAAAATTAAGATACCTGAATTACTATTACACATATTTTCATAATCAAAGTACACTGATTCTGGTCGCGTTTTGACCGGCCTTGACATCTTATGCGGCTTTTTCAAGTTGGTCCACTATTAAAGAAGCAATATCATGCGCCGCCGATCTCCAATATCGCGTTTTAACCAAAGGCATTGCCCAGTGATGACCTTCGAAGCTGCAAGGTGTCGAATAACAGGTACATGAAAGTCTTGTGGCGGGCAAACCTACAGTGGTCAGCAGAGACGAAGAATACCTCATAAAGCCCGTTTACCTTCTGCTATGGTGACTCAAACCCCACTCAGAAAGAGCACTTAAGGACACTGGGATGGTGCGCTTTTCTAAATGGCCTTCGACCCCTTTGGAAATAAAGTGGGGAATGCGGCGGTAAAATAACTCTCCAGTACGTCCACTAAAGTTGAGGTTCTCAAGTAATTAGCGTGATCCTAGTGCCTCCCGAGATTTAGACATCATTTATAACAGGGAGGTGTAAAAATAAACATGAATATGAGGCATACTATGTAATCAAGGATTATCAGATCCACGGTGGCTCGAATGCCAGGGTTTCGGTCCGCCATATTGAAGTCAACAATAAAGCGGGGGAATATCAGATGAGAGAGGTATGTGAACCGTCCAAGAGTGATCCCTTGTGCCCTGAATATGCAGCCTTTCCCACTATGAGCCCCTCATTTCTGTTCGAATACCTTGGAGTCCTACATTCTCGAGACTGGTCACTTTGAATATTGGCCAGGTTCTGCCCGTGGTTACTGTAGGAATTTGACACTACGTAGACCACTGGAAAGTATGGGGAAATCAATGATGTTATCCATGTCGACGCACCGGTTTTGCCGACCACTCATCCAACACGATGTGGCATGACATTGTGGTCTCGACCAATTTTAAAGCTAAAAGTGAAGTTCAAAACCCAAGCGTATAGACAAGCCAGGTGCTCATCCACAGGTTAAGGTTGCATTCGGTCACCTCTAAATGGTTGGAACCGAGTGGCACATATTTCCAGCCAATAGCACGATTTTGGCGTTTAAACTTTAAAATATCGTTGTGGTCTGACAGCACACTTGACTAAGTTTTATGCTTGCTACTTGAATCAATTGCGTAAGTCTACTAGAACCATCATGAGTCTATTAATGAGGAACACGCAAACGTTTTATTTTCTGCATTGCAATCCCAAGAATTGTCAATTTCGATAGTCTCGCAAAATGCCCTACAAATATGACCCATGTGTGACCTGCGGCAAATATCCATCGCAAGGCTCTTTTTGCCCAGATACCTGCAGTTATCTCTTGATAGACCAATCCCCCCCTACGCCAACCACAACTGTTGCCAACGGATCCGCTATATATTTCGCTCCTACTCTATCCACTGTAATCATGGAACAAAGGCTTCGGGGCAGATCGATTTCCCGAATAAAATCTTCCTCAAATTCAACGGAATGGTGCCAACCCGGTCAAGACCTCCCGTTGAGAAAGAATGTATCGACGGAGGATAAATATTTTCTCAAGTCTTATGAGAATTTATTTGATAAACTCCGGGTCATGAAGCGACAACTGTCTCAATGATTCTATGAGCCATTCAATTATCGAACTAAATGGTAAGCACAGTCATTTTTTCAAGATATGAATGTCGCTAAAGTAGAAATACGAAGAGTTAACAACTGGAATTAGATCTACCTGCTCAAGATAAAATGGATATTCCCTTCGCACATAGCCTTTTCTTGCCGGGGCTCTTTGGAAATAATATTCACCATAAGGATTGCCTTGAAAAGTCACGAAAACATGGCGATTTACGAAGCGACACTGTGATTCCGATGTCAGCAAGCTCCTGAACTTTGGAGGAAAAATGCGAACAAAAGGTCGGCATTGTCTTCCTAAGGCCCATTCGTGGTATACCAAAGTCTGCCAGGAGGAGCACTTTTTGATATTTTATCAAAATATTGCTAGGTTTTATGTCCCGGTGTCAAATACTCAAAGTATGGGTGTGGTGTATTATCTCAATGAAACATCTAAACCACCGTTTACTAAAGGTCTTTCTAGACTTGAGATATTCGTGTAGATTCTCATTTGCACGATCTATAGTTACCACAAATTTTATTTCTTCCTCACTTCCTCTATCGTGAAATCACCAGGTTGGTCAGGAGATCTTCGGCTGATATAATTCATAATGCAAGCTTGACACAATGCCTACATTTCCAGGCTTCGCGCTCGGTTTCAAATCAGATGGCTGTTTCATAGTGCTCTAGACCTTCTGCCTTTCTAAATGCCAACCACTTGACTTTTATCAAATATATCTGTTAATATATGCAACATGACATAAATCTCTTGTCTAGCAAGGTATGGTATAAATGACAGATATATATGACTCTAAGGAGAGATCAGGGATACGTTGGGTCAGTCAGAGCCACTCTCTGAGAGCTCAATCGAATGGTTTATGCGAGGTTGACCTGCGGAACGATGTATCATTATGTGAATGTCGAGATCCATTTCCGAAGAGGTGCGATTTATCGAGGGGTAGTGAGGGCAAGAAACCTCGAAAAATTGAATCTAGCTGATTTTCTTCGGGGAGGGCGGGAGACGGTGTGTTGGTGATGAGACAACAGGGACCAGGAAGACTGGGGAAGGAGGATCGGTTGTGTTGAGAGAGATGGCCTGGCGGATCTAGCTGGGTGTCGACTCATTCCCCTAAGCTAAGCTGCTGTTCTGAAAAAAATAAGTAGCCCACGCCTATCTCAACAGTTGGTCAACAGAGATATGTACACAATAGGATATTAAGCCAGCTATCTTGCCTAGCAGTATGTGTCCGTTGTGGCCTTTTGCCTGATCCCAGGTCGCATGGAGCGGATCCTTTGCCTCGATGCAAATTCTGAGATGACCGGAGACTGTATGAATAGAATCTCGAACGACTCGGCTGCCTGTATCAGATCAACAGAATGAGTCTGGAAGCAACTTGATGAACCGAAGTCTAATGCTGGACAGACGGTATGGCTAGAGGATGGCTTGAGAAGAAATTCCTGTGGTGGCCAAATCTATCATCGATAGTTCAGCACGTCAGGCAAATAAAATTTGACTAGTTTCCAAAGTACCCTGGATGACGAGATAAAATAACGCGATTGTGTCACGCAATTCTACCGGGGGCTTGAGCCGGCACTAGAGATGCGCCCTACTTTGTATTGACTTCAAGCTAATAAGTGGAAGGGTCCGATCACATTGATTGCGAAATATTGGTGTTGTTCATCTAACCAAGTATCTGCCTTGATCTCAAGCTTTGACGACATTTGTCTGTATGTACTTACGCCCGGGTGCTCCAAGCTCACCGGTATCGGAATTCATAAGTTCTAGAACAAAGCTAGTTTGGTGTAATGAGTAGCGTAACTCTTAGGACTGACCATAAGGGCCGGAGATGCTTCGGGAGAAATCCTTGAACTGGTTCCTTTTTTTTCTCCGAGGGATTTTGAATCCTTCTTCATGATCATGCCAGCTCTTCGGTGAGGAACAAGGATTAGGAGTACGAGATGAAAAACTGCCCACCCAGGTCCACGGACACTCCTTACATGCAATATCATCGCGACGCCTCCTCGGGATTCCTAGAAAAAGCGACTTCACGATCACCCCTGCATATGCACGCGAGGACCATTAAGCACCTAGAACGCATCGTGTCATTAGTCACACGGACACAGGAGATGGAATAAATTCCCAATGGTACACAAGATCCCGTATCCATATGTAGTAATGGGGCACAGGGGACTCGGGGACCAAGAATACGGAACCCCGAGCCGAGCGAACATAACGGCGCTATGTTATATTAGCGGCAAGGGCGAGAAATGAGTGCAAAAAAGAAATCAATAATGTGACAAACTGAATGACTAGTCAATATGTGACAAAGTTCTCGTATAAAACAAGCCAAACGCCACCCCGTCTACGGAAGAAGAGGCTGAAATTGAAGAGCATCTCCGAGGAGACGGTCAATGTATGGTCCGTAGTACTCTGTGTAGCGGAGATGCATGCACCCATGAGCACGGCTATGCAACCATAACCAGCTGCAGATCCGACCATGTCTTACCTAGAGTCAGCTGCCTAAGATGAACGGCGCGACGCCACATTATTTCATTTTTGCTTCTTCCTGTCGCCTATTTCTTCTCTTATATGCCGCTATAACATCTAGTCTGGTAGCCAAGAGAATCCACAGGCCTTGGATATGTGCCTATATAACCTGGGCGGTAGGAATGTCTTGCGTGATACGGCCAAAAGCGCCGAGGAATGCACTAGGAAGACTAGCCAGCGACTAAAGTGGAAGATGTAAACAGAAGAAGCTGATACGTCTGTAAACAGACCAAGAGTGGCATGGGTAGCCTCGTGGCACCATATTTTAAGTTAAGGGCGCAGGTCTACGGATGTACTCTGCAAGTAGAACTGCTTTAGTACTTTAGTATTCAGGATATCCCGGTAGACGCGGGCTAAAGATAAAGCTCGATGACGTGATTTAGATCTTGATTGCGTTTTTACAGAGTGGATGAAAATGCATGCGGAGGACAGGGGAAAGACATGCATATTCTAAGCTCCATATCAAATTTAACTATATATGCCTCAAACCTTGGCTATTGGGGCGCCGTTTTGGCAAAAGAGGAAACTGCGGCCGTGTTCCCCTACTCAAGTTCTGTGAAGGCCGATGGGTTAGATACAGCGTATGTAAAAAGGCAACTGTCTACGGAGTACTCCGTAACTGCCGCGAGAAAGGGTGTATTTTCCACTACTCCGTACTCCGTACATATGCACCTAACAGATAGAGTAGCCCCGAGCTCAAAGGGACCCCACGCGAGCTTTTGATTACAAGAATATTATTCTAATTCTAATTTAAAGATGAATGGACCATTCCGTAACGGGACCACGCGGCAGATGATCAATACAATTTAGATCCCGAGGTCAGTGTGGAGCTACACCTATTCTACAGTACTGTTGAAGCTATACAATATTAAATTATGTAACAATCTAAGGCGGTCTGGAATAAAGTTAATCAGTTAAAGAAGATTCTTGAAACGAAAAACAATGCAAACTCCACCAAAAACCATCTTATCCAAGCGTGGAACCTCGTTTTTCCCTTTCACCATCTCGCCTCCAGATTGCGTGTTCTAAACGGTCCGTGATTGGTCTCGTGGCCCCACTTGTTGATCTTCTTGGGGCAAATCTCATCGAGGCGCGTTCTCATTCGTCATCCACACTGCTTGGCACCACGACAGCTGCTCCAGTGTGGTCCCCCAGTTTAGTCATTGAGGACGTTCATATTCGTCGATTTGAGACGATATACATGGGCTATCAGGTGAGAAAAATGTCATGGGAACAATGAATAAGTTACCTGTGTGTGTGATAGTGTTTGAAACAACCAGGACATAAGAGCCAAGTTATTCCGTCTCATCTCGACCATGGGCCCCATGTGAAAAACGGATATACTCCACGACCCGTCGTCATATTCTTCCAGACCGAGTGGGACCTGCGGGTTTACGCTCTTTAGTGATCAACTCGGATCGTCGGTGGACCCGGCCGCGTGAAATTCCTCCCTGGTTTTTAACAACTTGGGCTCGCTTTCAATCAGTTTTTGCTTTTTTCTTGTGATTATTTTATCTCGAGGAGCACTTTGTACAAGTCTAGCCCTCGTATAAACCTTGCTTGAATTCGACTCTAAGCGAATTAAGCGGAAATTTCCACCTGGGCAAATCTTAATTTGAATCTGGGGAGCTTAGATATTGCGCCATTTGCGATCGAATCACGCATCCAACATTCTTGGCCTTTCTTATTTTTTTTAAATTTTTTTTGTCGCGCCATGCAGAGTGCATGATTGTCTGATTGACATTCTTTTTATATCCCTGATCATCACCACATTTCTGGGGAATCTATCTTTCCAAGTTTCCGTCAACACACTTCGTCCTTGTGGTGAAGCTTCGTTCAATCCCGGCTTTTGATATAGTCAACTCCGGTCTGTACAAGCATACTCATCATGTCCGAACACGGGGAGAAGACCAGTTCCAAGATTGGTCATTCCCTGGCCAAGGTCCTCGGTATCAAGCTCGCATACAGAGACCCTCTGGGTGCTACCGGTGAGGCCGTTACAAGAGGAGAATCGGCATTTTCCATGGGCACCGTCGACACATACTCATACAATGAGCCCGAGCCGACAAGCATCGACTGGATTCGCGAGACCACTCCTTCCGGAGCTCAAATAGGTAGATATCTCATCAGCTTGTTCCCTTTCCTTTCATGGATTGGCAACTACAACATGACATGGCTGTACGGTGACTTGGTTGCCGGTATCACCGTTGGAGCGGTCGTTGTGCCACAAGGTATGGCCTATGCTGAGCTGGCTGGACTGCCGGTCCAGTACGGTCTGTACTCCTCCTTCATGGGAGTTTTGATCTATTGGTTCTTTGCCACGTCAAAGGATATTACTATTGGAGTGAGTGATACTGCGACCGGTTGGAACCCAAGTGCCATTACTGACCTCATCTCATAGCCTGTGGCCGTCATGTCCACTCTTACCGGAACTATCGTGGCCAAGGTCCAGGATGAATACCCAGACTACCCTGCCCATTTGATTGCATCCTCCCTTGCTATCATTTGCGGTGCTATTGTTCTAGTGATGGGTCTTCTGCGCATCGGATTCATTGTCGATTTCATTCCTCTCCCCGCTATTTCGGCCTTCATGACCGGCTCCGCTATCAATATCTGCGCGGGACAAGTTCCAACCATGTTGGGTGAATCAGCCAAATTTAGTACGCGCGGTGCCACCTACATGGTCATTATCAACACTCTCAAACACCTCCCTAGTTCGAAGTTGGATGCTGCTATGGGTGTCACTGCCTGTGCAATGCTGTACATGATTCGCTCAGGATGCACTTACGCCGCGAAGAAGCAGCCCGCTAGGGCCAAGACTTGGTTCTTCATCTCGACTCTTCGAACTGTGTTTGTGATCTTGTTCTACACTATGATTAGTGCCGCCACGAACTTGCACCGCAGGAAGCACCCGGCATTTAAGCTCCTCGGGACAGTCCCTCGAGGATTCCAACAGGCCGACGTGCCCACTATGGATTCCAAGATCATCAAAGCCTATATTGGCGAGCTTCCGGCTGCCGTCATCGTTCTTCTGATTGAGCACATTGCCATTTCCAAATCTTTCGGCCGTGTGAACAACTACACTATCGATCCCTCTCAGGAATTCGTGGCTATTGGTGTGAGTAACCTGCTCGGGCCTTTCCTCGGTGGCTACCCCGCGACTGGATCTTTCTCCCGGACAGCTATCAAGTCTAAAGCTGGAGTGCGCACACCCCTTGCTGGTGTCATTACCGCGGTCGTGGTGCTCTTGGCTATCTATGCCCTGCCCGCTGTCTTCTTCTTCATCCCTAAGGCTTCTCTGGCTGGTATCATTATCCACGCTGTCGGTGATCTGATCACTCCCCCGAACACTGTTTACCAGTTTTGGCGTGTGTCTCCGCTTGATGCGATTATTTTCTTCATTGGTGTCATTGTCACTGTTTTCAGTTCCATTGAAAATGGTATCTACTGCACAGTCTGTGTGTCGGTTGCAGTCCTCCTTTTCCGTGTGGCCAAGGCCCGCGGTCAGTTCTTGGGCCGTGTCACTATCCATTCTGTTGTCGGAGACCACCTGTTGGACGGGGAGGGAAAGTACGGATCGTTCGGAACTAACAAGACTCCCTCCGACGACGAGGACCGCCACCACCGCACTATCTTCCTTCCCCTTAACCACACTGATGGCTCCAACCCTGACATCGAAGTGGAGCAGCCCCTTCCTGGTATCTTCATCTACCGCTTTGCCGAAGGCTTCAATTACCCCAATGCCAATCACTACACCGATTCCCTGGTTCAAACCATATTCAAGAGCACCCGCCGAACGAACCCGAATGCCTACAGCAACCGCGGTGAACGTCCATGGAACGACGCTGGTCCCCGCCGCGGCAAGGAAGGCAGCGACGACGATTCACACTTGCCCCTTCTCCAAGCCGTCATTCTGGACTTCTCATCCGTGAACAATGTCGACGTAACCTCAATTCAGAACCTGATCGACGTCCGCAACCAGCTGGACAGGTACGCTTCCCCCCGCACCGTGCAATGGCACTTCGCACACATCAACAACCGCTGGACAAAGCGCGGCCTGGCTGCCGCAGGCTTCGGTTACCCGACCCCCGTCGCTCGCGACGGCTTCCACCGGTGGAAGCCCATCTTCAGCGTGGCCGAGATCGAAGGCAACGCCTCCGCCGCCGCCCACGCTGAAATGATTGCCAACCAACAAGAACACAAGAACGCGGATATCGAATCCGGCCTCAAGTCTGATTCCAACACCGTCACGTTGGAGACTAACGGCATTGAGACCGCCTCTGAGAGCTCCGAGGCCGTCCGCGAGGACAAGTTCAATCGCGATATCACGGACAGCAAGGCGTACCAGCGCCGTCCTAAGGTTGCGCTCGTGCAGGGCATGAACCGGCCTTTCTTCCACATCGACTTGACCAGCGCTCTTCAAAGCGCTGTTGCCAATTCCTCGGACGTGATCCCACACATTGAGTGATTCGTCTTTTTGTTTATGTGTTTCATCTCTTCGCTTTGCACTGCATCTCCTGCTTGCTACATGTCTGCATCGATCAGTTGTTCCTCCCTGGCTTGGAGTCTGATCTGATATACCCCCCCGATTATGACCTGTTAATATCGTGTTTGCTCTTGTCATTTTCGTTACCCTCTATACTTTTGTCACTTAGCACTGTCTATATTGGATGTATTCCATGGCACTGACTGTGGACATCTTGTTGTTGTGATATATTCTTTCGGCACTATTCCCTTGGTTCGCGTGTGTTGGTTTATTTGGTCTGGGTCTTGTTTATTGGCCCTTTTGGGTCTGGGAAGAAACGGATTGTTTGGAATGGACTTGGCTCCTTGATTTTTACTAGGGAGATACTTACCCCTTTTTGCTTACATATCTTGGATAGACCTCGCTTGGTAAATATATTCCACCTTATCATTTTAAAAATGTTCTCCTGTGTAGTCCCTTAGCAGACCTCCGCGTAACCCATCATTAGTAAACCGGCCTTCAGATCCGCCCCAGTGTCCAGGTGCCAGATATCTGATTGATAATCGATCATCCCCAACCACGCCCTGTTACATATTATTAGCGATCTCCACTTCCCCCGAGTCTAACCGCGCAACCGCGACCTGATCCACATATCAGCACAATTCTAAGCTCTGCCATGTCTTCGTCTAAATATTTCCAAGAGCTAGTCGAGCTCAGCGAAAGCTTTAATTGATACAACTTTCAAGATATACAATAATCAACGAGTTCCAAGGTTAAAATAGTTACTAGTAACATAATGACCTCGGAAGTCAAGATAATTTCCTATTCCAGATTAGCGCCTTCCGAAAACATCCATGATGTACTCCATATACCGCGGGTATATAGTTTTTTAATGAAGTTTCTTCGGCGAAAGGCTTGCCCAGGTGGATCCATGGCATTTCTCAATAATATTTAGATTTTTGAAACATTTCTTCTCTCTCCTACATCTCTCAAAGGAGATACACTACACCAAGATGGCCAATCCCCAATCAACAAGCACCGGAATCTCCCTCCAAGACCTAAATACAAATCTAGGAGAAAGGCCCGCACGAGCAACCCAAAATGACCTCTCATCAACCCCCACGGAATTGGACATAATGCAACAATCCCTGCTAGCAGACTCACAAGTCCCAGACGGCGGCGAAGCCTGGGTCGTGATATCAGGTTGCGCAGTGGTAACATGGTGGTTCATCGGAACATCCTACTGCTGGGGAATTCTACAAGCCGCGCTCGTCAAAGAAGGTGTATCATCATCGTCAACACTAGCATTCGTCGGATCTCTCGCAACAGCATGTATCTCCTTCCTGGGCATTCTGAACGCGCGCATTATCCGCAAACTCGGGACGCGCATATCGGCCATGGTGGGTGTCTTCTTTCTCGGTCTTGGGGAGGTGCTGAGTGGGTTCTCGGCTATGAATATTGGGGGGTTGTTTGCTACGGCTGGGATTGTTATGGGTATTGGAATAAGGTGAGATTGATCCAGTTTGGAGCTTCTTGTTTCCGTGTATAGTATACGTGGATGCTGGATATATGCTATATGCCAGAACCCATAGTTGGAAGACTTCACTGCACTGTTACTCTTACTGACCAGGGTACAGTCTCTGCTTTATGGTCGTATCCGTCACGCCGGCTCAGTATTTCCGAGCGAAGCGCGGCATCGCGAATGGCATCGTCTATGCAGCGGGTGGACTCGGTGGTGCTGTGATTAGCTTCGTGATGAATGCGCTCCTCGAGCGCGTGGGTGTGCAGTGGACGTTCCGGATCATCGGGTTTGCTACTTGGGCTACGGGCTTGCCGGCTGCTTATTTGATCAAACAGCGGGTTCCGATTCCGCCTTCGGCTTTTGTGGATTGGTACGTTATATTACTATATTCCTTCATTACTCTATTGTTTTAGGGTTGTTATACTATCATTATTGATCCCTAGACTAACACCTTCTACAGGCGTCTATTCCGCGACATCCGGTTTGTCCTCCTCTTCGCAATGGGTGCAATCGCGACATTCCCCCTCCTAGTCCCACCCTTCTTCCTACCACTCTTCACAGCTTCACTGGGAATGTCATCCGGCACGGGAGCGGGTATTGTGGCAGCATTCAATTTCTCCTCTGCGCTGGGGAGATTGCTTTGTGGACTGTGCAGTGATTTCGTCGGACCGCTAAATACGCTGTTTATTTCTCTTCTGTTGAGTGCACTGAGCATGTTGATTATCTGGCCTATCTCGACTTCGCTGGGGCCGCTGGTCGTCTTTGTTATTGTCAATGGTATGGCGAATGGGGGCTTCTTTTCAACTATGCCTACTGTTGTCGGAAATACGTTTGGCTCGGCCAGGGTGTCTGTTGTTATGGGGATGGTTGTGACGGGCTGGGCTGGCGGTTATTTGCTTGTAAGTTGACCGGCCATGGTTGCCGATGCGGTTCTATATACGAGCATGTGGTACTAACCATGGATACAGGGTGCGCCCATTGCTGGGTTTATCCTTGATGCTGCTGGCGGGGAGAGTAAGGGGATCACGGGTTACCGTCCGGCTATTGTTTATGCTGGTTCAATGGCTCTAGTTGCTTCTATAATTGGGCTTTCTATTCGGTTAAAGACGGATAAGAAGCTACTCAAGAAGCTCTAGGATCAGGTGGGTATGCCTGGGAAAAGCCAATAGTGCATGGTGTTGGCATGTACCACATTGTAAAATAATATAATTAAATAAATAAATAGACAAATAGAGACAATAGAGAAAAGAGGAGTTACAAGCGAGGCATATAGATGGCCGAGGTACAACGGAGCCCCATAGTTCCAAGTACTGCGAACTACGCCGCATCCCCCAGAACGTCACTGTTTTTCATCAATTCATATTCGGCTCCCTTTCCCTTCTACAGGTATCAATTAAAAGTTATTCAATTCAAAATGACTCTGAAAGCAATGAATTGCCTGACACGCCCAGTACTGCACCTCAAAAGTGTGGCTATTCCTCCACGAGTATCACCAATCAAATCATGCATCGCGCAATATAGCTCCCACTCACCAATGGGCTCAACAACCGCTAGCACACGCAAAAAAGTAACAATTCAAACAATTCAAAACCTCTACAAAAAGAATGAACCCATCACAGTCCTTACAGCATCCGATTTCCCTAGCGGCCATGTCGCCGACACAGCCGGCATGGAGATCGTGCTTGTAGGCGACAGTCTCGCAATGGTCGCAATGGGCATGGAAGATACGAACGAAGTGACAATGGACGAGATGCTTCTCCATTGCCGGAGTGTGAACCGCGCTGTCAAGAGTGCCTTTACAGTGAGTAACTATTACATGCATTGCCCATCCAAATACATACTATACACACACCCCACCAAAACACATCAAGCTTCATCATCTCACAACCACATAGATCGCAGACCTACCAATGGGCTCATACGAAACAACCCCAGAAAAAGCCCTTACATCTGCAATCCGGATGGTAAAAGAAGGCGGCATGAAAGGCGTGAAACTCGAAGGCGGCGCAGAGATGGCATCTACAATCCGCAAGATCTCCCAAGCGGGGATCCCAGTCATGGCGCACATCGGACTAACACCGCAGCGACAGCACTCGCTCGGCGGGTTCCGGGTACAGGGCAAGTCAGCCGCGGGCGCGGTGAAACTTCTGCGTGATGCATTGGCTGTGCAGAAGGCCGGTGCTTGTATGGTCCTTATTGAGGCTGTGCCGCCTGAGATTGCGGAGATTGTTACGCGGCGGCTCAGCGTGCCGACTATTGGGATTGGGTCTGGGAATGGGTGTTCTGGACAGGTTCTTGTGCAGGTCGATATGTTGGGGAATTTCCCCGAAGGGAGGTTTTTGCCTAAGTTTGTTAAGACTTATGCGGATGTCTGGGGGGAGGCGAGGAGGGGGGTTGAGGCTTATAGGGAGGAGGTTAAGAGTAGGGCTTTTCCATCGGTTGAGTATACTTATTCTGTTTCTAAGGAGGTTTTGGAGGAGTTTGAGAAGGTTGTTGATGAGGTTGTGGGTGAGAAGGAGTAATAAATTAGCGAATGGTGTATTTTTGGGTCTTTAGTTGCTTTTCGACAATCTGTACATACGCTGAACCTATGCCATAGTCTTGACCTTTGATGTCTGCCTAGCAACTTAATATTCCAAGTGAGATTTCAACCTGCGAATATGTTCTAGGGTATACCGAGATAGGAAACCATCTCGAAAAAAGCCCCTAGGTATCAATTAACATGCAACAATTCAATTCGTACAGAGCATATACAACCCCCTAATAACCCCCAACAAGTCCACACCTAGCTTTTAAATAGAATCCAAGATCCTACCAGCCGATATATATTTCTTTTCACCTCAAAACACCCCCAACACCGGCCCAGCCAAGCACAAACCCACTAAGCGCCTCACTCATAACACCGCCACCAAACCAAACATCCCTCCAAGCACCCTTGCGGAGAATCTTCCTGGGACCAGCCTTTCCACCAAGCTGCATGCGCACAGCCTTGCTCTTCTCATCCATCTCAATAGAACCCTCGACCTCGCCAGGGTTACTGCCAGGGAAGAAAGAGCCTGCGCCTGCACCACCGGAGCGGTGGATCAGAACTGCATGGAAGAGTCCTGATACCAGGATCGTGCCGAGGAAGTAGAAGGCGAAGCCGTAGCCTGATTGCAGGGCTAGGATTCCGGCGGATAGACCGAGGAGGAAGGAGGTTAGGCTGTGGAGGGAGGAGAGGACCTATTTTCCGTTGTTAGTTTGTGGTATTATAATGTAGGATGCATATGCGGATATGATATTGGTGTAGGAGATATGGAGGTGCATGTGGTGGATAGGGGTGGTTGGATGGGATGTGGGATGTGGGAAAGTCATACGCGGTTGTTGTGCTGGACGGCCTCGGGTACGAGAGGGGTGATTAGCAGGGAGAGTTCCTGCTTTGTTGGTGCCATCTTGGCTACTTTGATGTCTTTTTATTCCCGATGTTGGATTTGAGAGGTCG